ATCCAAATAAAAAAGATAATTATTAATAATGCCTTACAAGAAATTATTAATAATTGAATCATATTTCAAACAAAATTAATTTATTTGTTTAATAAAATTACCGTGTTAATGTTCATTAGAAAAATATAAGACACTAAAAATGCCAGTCGTTATTATATATTTCCTCATGAGTAAAATAATTTATAATTTGTTTCGTATTACAATTGTCCGAAACACAAAATCTCTGAAATTAATTCATTTTATGTTCCCGAGTATACATTCACCTCATACGGTTTTTTATTGCTAATTTAAATCAAAACTAAATTATTGAAAAATAATATGAGAACAAATATCCTTAAATCATTTCTTATCTTTGATCCAAAAAAAAAATTACCAAAAATAGATTGATACACAAAAGTATACAACATTTGCGATAACTTATATTTAATGTTCATTTTGCTAGCTTTTTTTAATAAAAGAAAAAAAAAAAGCTCAAGAATATACAGATAAATGTTACGGAAATTTGTTAACTTTCAACAAGAGAATCAAGCAAGGCTAGTTTATCTTCCGGAATTTCGGTAACGGAGGATATTATCTTTCGAAGGGAAGAACGGAATTCCTCAATAGAGTTATATGTAAGTCTTTTGACACCATTTTTTTCGAAGAAAGCAAATTTCGATTTGCTTATGCATCGATGATGTACGATAACCAAAGAGTCACAGAATTTCTCCTTGAGATCGTTATGTAGAATGATCTCGAGACTTGTAAAATCGTCTTCTTTTAAGTATTTCTTGATTTTTGTAGAAAAGATATCGTATTTACTAATAATGTGTTTGAAAAGATTAAGGATATTTTGCACAAACTTAGATTCATTTAGACCAATAAGAATTAAAAGCCGTATCAGACGAAGGATAATTGTCAAATAAGCCTGTTCTTTACAAAACAACAGGTCGAGAAGCTGTTGAACTTGATCGATTGAATTATTGATTGCAGACAAATAGTTCTTTCTGCTGTAAGTATAACGAACCGGAATGAGCGGTTTCGCATTAAATGCTTCAAAGTAATTAATCAGGTAAGCTCGCGGAAGACACAAATCGCAATACTCTTGACCAACTGTGAAAATCAAAGACGTTGTAAATTCCACGAGAGATGTTAGATCTCCAAGAGCATCGGATGAAATTAGATTGACTTGCTTAATATTTTTTAGTGAATAATTAATAAATGATTTCGAACTTATAATCGCGGAAATCACTTTATTATTATAAAGAAACGAAAAAAATTGCGAGAGATATCTTCCAATTGGAATCGCTTGAAAATTTCCACAATAATATTCAAAACCAACGGTTAGATCGTTTGGGTGTGAAAGTATTTTTGTTTTCGACATCTCCCGATAGAACTCATCTATAACCGTTTTGTCCCGCAGCTGCTGAATAACTAATATGTATTTTAACATAACCTCAAAATCGTTAGCATTCTTTGACTTATTAAATAACATTGTCTTGTAAACTTCATTTATAAGACCATCACGAACGTGAATAGGAAGATTGGCAAGAGCCATATAAGTAACCTCTGGGCAGCTTGTATGCGGTGAATGATATCGTAAATGACATTTAACGAGATTCTCAGCCCACCAATTTTGTAAATTAAGAATTTCTTTACAAAGAAGTCCGTGACGGTATAATACATCCAACTGTCGCACCACAGTGTATTGAAGTCTTGCAAGTTTCTGGCGTTGGAATAGAAGTAACGGTGTCGGACTTACGTGATGCATTTGGCAATTTGAATTTTGACAATTACCAGATGATGCAAAATTATAGCAGATTATCGAGGCTATATTCGGGTTATCCTTACCATCCTGACCGATTTTCGAAATACGATCGTAGATATATGTGATTAGGAACTGGGAAACTGTCTGATGCACATCATCAACGTCACAAATCATCCAACAGTCTGTAATTGCTTCATTTTTTTGTATAAGGTAATTAAGAGGGTTGTAAAACGAAACTTTCCGTTTCTGAGGGTTTTGCATTTTGCTCTCAAAGCCGAAAAATATATCCACGAATTCTTTCGAGATATGAGTTATTTCATCGTTTTTTTGTGGGACTATAAAAGGAAAGGTCAATTTACACAGTCTTGGTAGATATTGTAACCGTTCATCCCAATAATTGATATTAATTTCGGATGGTGAGGGGATCTGCAGCCACATGATTACCGCAAAAAACTCGGTGTCAAGCTCTTTTTTCTTCATGAAAAATTGTCTGCACTCGTGGACTTTCTTGAGATCCTTATTTATATAAGAAATATATAACCGAGACTCTTCCATCAAACTCTTTGATCGTTCAGTTTGAATAATAATTTTTGAGATAATCTTGGCCGCTTTAGATTGGAGCCTATTCAATTCCTGCATGATACTTGAGCCTGTGATTATCTCTCTTAGTACATTGACTCTGCATTGGCGTAATAGGTACTGAGAAGCAACAATTGAATTCTCGTCGTCATTAACAGAATGGTTTAGCATATCCGCGGCCTCTTCAAACTGAAAATGCGAATAAAGTTTTTCCGCCTCTTTGCGAAAATGGATATTGAGTTTAATAATTGTCTCATCTTTGATATCTTGTTTGTGCCTTAATTTAATAGTTTAGACAATGAAATGTTAAGGTCCTTACGGGAATTTATAGAACTCATCAACTTGTTTTAAGCTTACCTCTGAATCAAATCAGTTAAAATATCGTAAAGTCTGCCATCTTTATAGGCAAGAGCTGCGTCATCATAGTTCTTAGCCTTTACATAATACCCGCCTGCTTCGTGCCACATCTTGACACCACGATAACAACGCGCGGCATGCTCAAACATTTTTGATTCAGAATAGAGTTCACCAGCTTCTTTATGCATGTTTATATACTAAAATTTTGTAGATTATAGATACCATGAAATTTCAAATGCAGATGTATTACACTGAACAAAATTAAAACTATTAGGAACTATGAAATTCATATTGGTTTCGAGAAAAATAAGGTATACCTCATAACATGAAGCCGCCTGTGGCAATCGGGAACAGTCTTGAAAAGCATGAGCGGCTGATTCGAAATTGTTCTTCACTGTTGTTGCATTAGAACCAGTTATGAAAGAAATCCTGGCAATCTGTTGAAGATGGTACGCATGGGATAATTTTTCGCCAGTCTCATTTCCACTCCTTTTGAAACAGAATATAGCCTAGATGATTCTGTCTCTTTAGAAACTCAGCTCATTATTTCATGCATAGCACTGAAATTTAAAGAGTTTACCTGTTCATACTTCCGTTGCTCAAAAAACATCCTTCCTTCGCGATTCCATTCTGATGGACTACTAGACTTAGTCAAAGTAGAGATGTCGATTTTATCGGTTACTACAACTAGTTTTTTGTGTCTCCAGTATGTCCGAGTTGGCTCACTCTTCTCAGAATTTTCATCAAAAATCCAGAGACGCTCTCTGGCTCTGGTTATGGCGACATAGAGATGTTTGAGTTCCGAGGAAAGGATATAATGTTTATCGGGATTGAAATCGCGAATCCCTTCAGAATAGTCATCCAGGACGGAGAGAATTACCCGCCACTAAATACGACGTATACCGAGCAATTTTAATAAATAATTATATTGTGCTTAAAAGCAAATTTCAAATTACCATACATGTAAAAGTGCGGGTGAATCGGTAAAGAAATCATACAAAAGTACATCATTAAACTCCATCCCTTTGGCATCAAATACAGTTAAAACTAATCCAATATCGCTGTTTAGATCCTTCACACGCTGTTTAGCCTTTTCGTTACGTACTATAATGACTTGATCAGCTCCAAATTTAATAAATGCATCCGCATTATCGATACCGTTTCTATAGGCAAACAGATCTTTTGCTCGACATTTCTCAAAGATAATAGGTTGTGGACCACCTATTTCACCGATATCAGGTGACAGTTTGTCGATAGAATTAGGAAAAAATTCCTTAAGGAGGTGAATTACTGATGATGCCAGTTGAAGAATCCCTCTGTGGGAACGGTAATTAATTTTAAGTTCGAATTTTTCTGGTTTTAAGGGATTGTATCGATTGTTTTCGGTCAGGACTCTTTTGCGATCCCAATTGTAAATTAATGAGTATAATTCTGTTTTGGTTATTAAAAATTAAAATTATAGAACGGAAATATAATTGCTTAATCTTGGAGGACAAAACAACGCATACCCTGGAATCGGAAAGTAGATCCTCGGGCAATACATTGCGTCACATCTCCTGCCATAAAAAAGCTGTCGGCACAGTCAAAAAGTTTCAAAATAAGCATGTAATCTATGATCTGGTTATCCTGACATTCATCGATGTACACTTCATGTATATGCGGCCCACCAAATGTTCTCGTTTTGGTTGCACGTAATATAGATAAAGTCCTGTAAAAAAGGAATAGAAAATCTATTAAGACCGATCCAAAACTAAAAAAAAAAATGATAATTCAACTTTACCGGTCCACTGAATCAAAGTCATAATTTCGCGCCTTCATCTTCTCATATCGCTCAAATAAATTATAAATCACATCACGATTGTGGGTAAATGCTGGGTATTTCCTGGTACTAATAGACCGGTATTCTTCCCTTGATAGGTAGTCTACCTCAATATTCGTGCCCTTCAGATTATTTATTGAAAAACTTCATAATGTTAAAATCGCGCATTTTATATGCGTATGGTTGATTTATAATTACATACTTTGATAACAGAGAACTCTGAGTAGACCAGCTCGCAATCCAGATTATTTCTAATATGATGGTCGAAACGACGCCAATACTTTTTTTCGAACAGATCGTAGTCAACAAAGGTAGCCCACGAAGCTTTTGACATGTTTGTAAAAGGAGACCTAAAGTGGAGCACATCCTCGTCATCTTCATTTTCACTATTTACATTGTGCTCTTGATTTGTCTTTGTGGTCAATGTTCGAGTGTCAATACCGTAGGTTCCGCGAAGCATTTCAAAAAATTTTTCGTAGGTAATAAATAATGGAAAATGCTGGTTTGTCAGCAGACGGAATGAATTCGGAATTTCACCCAGAGTTTTCTTTTCATCGTCTTCCTCGTGCATGATATGTTCATCAAGTGTTTTATTACCGTATTCTTTCTTCCACTCAATAAATTGAGCTTTTGTAATCTTCTCGCCTGCAAGCTCCGTCGATTTTTGCAATTTGTTGAAGTACTTCTTTACTCGTAAGCATAGAATGGGGTTCAACGTAATAAATATTTGTCTTTTGTAAAAATACTCGTCATTACCATGGGAAGATGGCGTCTTGTAAAGTTGGCTTTTCAGATATGAAACAAGCTGTCTAAATATGATACATGTAGTCTTGCCGGTTCCTAATATTAGACATTTAGAAAAAAAATAAGAAAGTAGGTATTTTTCTTTAGTAAAATTGATGGCTGACTAACCCGATCGTCCAAAAACGACCGCCGACTTAGGATGGTTAATTATATCGTACTCGGTCTTGGATACTTGAAAAGCGAAATCAGAGCCACTTAAGATGAGTGACTTGAACAAATCCTGAGAGAAAAATTATTAACTTTATAGAATTTATTCGTCGAATAATTATTACGTATATAACAGCATACTTTACCCTTGATATTGGAAAAAATTTATTTGTAACAAACATTTTATGAACTTCTAATAGCAACTCGTTATCCAACTCTTCGTTGGTGAACCTTGCTACCTCAACCTCATCATCTTCAAAATATTCCGGTAAAACGATATTGTCTTGGTCTTTGATTTTGCAAAGATTAATATGTTCGGAAGTGTAGGCCTTATAAACTTTTTCAAGGGTATTTAATGTCTTGTCAATCTGTTCTTGGCTTGCAGTTATGGCCCAAACCTTTATATGTTGCATGAACAAATATTTATGGATAGAAAACCCGTACTCAACTTGCCAGAGAATTTTCAAGTTGTTTCCAGGGAGCTCCACTTCGTAGACGGAAATATCGATAGGTAACTCTATACGTTGGAAACCATACTTTTTCCATTTTCCGGATGATATTTGCCTAAGTTTTTTCATGATAGTTTCAATAGTGAGAGGTAACTCAATTTGCATGTCTTTGAAGTCTTCATTATACAGCATGTCCCGTATGTCTTCGATCGTGCTTTCGCTGAGCAGAATTTCCCAAGGTCCAAGTTGCTCTGAATCATTGAATTCAAATGGAAGGTGTCCATTTGCTTGGTTTCTTTTCTCCATATATAATGATTATATATTGTTAATAAACGAATATAAAATAATTCTATTATTTTTTTTTTTTGATTTTTTTTTTTTTGAATTTTTTTTTTTTTTTTTAAAAAAAAAGTCTAAAGAACCTAGAAATAGTAAATTTGTGATCTTTATATATTTTTATTTATTTTATTTATTTAAAGAAAAAAGCATAACCCGAAAAAGAGACGATCTTCAATTTCCGGTTATACTGTTATTACATGGTCCGCCGCAGCATAAATTTGGTGACGCGAATGATAATTTCGGTTTTCCTAATTATGAAAATATTCAAAACATTTGAATTAGTTAATTGCTGAATATTTCAAGATTAAATCAAACTAGATTTACAATGCACCATTAAAAAATGATATTACGTGTTTTTTCACGACGCGACGTATTTTAATTGTTACGTTATTTACCTTTTAAGTAGTGTCAAAGAAAATTTTATACATAGGAGGAGTTCTCCTTTTACGTCTTCTCTTTTATTTTTTTATGTTTTTATGTCGACTACTTAATTTACTTTAAGTTTCTTTCGTTAGATCATTTAAGTTATATAAGATTTAAAATTCCCTAAAAGTACAATAATGATATGGTGTTCACTTCAGAGTGGAACAACATGATGCGGCGATTTTTTAATGAATTCAAAAAAAATTTTTAACCAGCCCTAAAGAAGAAGAATTGATTTCTTAACTTTCGAAGTAGTCGACATTCACATATAAAATGTGAATAATTAATATCAAAATTGATTATGGCGAGACTTATTTCTTTTTATTTTTGAATTATTGCGATTACAAAATTTAACCAAATTTGTATGAATAAATAACTATATATTTCAACTTAGAACCAAATATAATATTTAGAATATAGATCAAAAGATCGAGAGGGTCAAAATGTTTATACGTTTCCATCGCATACATATGATTGAAATACTTATTATCTCATTTATAGTTAAGAAAATGAATTGTTTTATATGTAGCAACGATCTCTAATAATTTTTAATTTAACAAATATTATAGTCAGAGTACATGCATCAGTTACATCTTTTCGCCAAGAAATCCAAGAAACCAAATTATGAAAGCAAAATGTTTTGAAAAGCAAATGCAGTAAAAAAAGATATGTCCCAATTCAAGATTATTCCGATATTACGAGTTTCTTTGCGGATCTCTCCACGTATATTTTTTATAAATTGTGTTGATTCCTCGGTACCTTGAAGAGGAGCACCTGGATTAAAATTTATAATTTTTCTATTAGAATTAAAATGCAAAACGATTTGAAAAAAAAATTATATAATTACTAATAACAAAGTTTTCGTTATCATCATGATTGAATGATGCTGCGCTTGAGAATTCTTACCCATTCTAACTTTTTTGTTATCATAATAACGACCCTCTTGAGAATTCAAATGTAAATCTGAAAATGGAACTCAGTTTTAATGACGTAATTTCTTCTGAGATGGACCATAAAGATCAAGGATATCGGACCCTGCTCAGAAGTTGATTTATCTAATATTTCTACAGAACACATATCAACTTTTCGTTTTAACTTGAACTTTTAAGCAAACTTATAATGTTGTCAGATAAAATCCTCACAAAATGAAATAAATCAACTGATACTTACCTTCCTTTCCCGGATCAATTCTAGTTGTTGGGCATCTTCGATATACCGCCATAGATATTTATCCGTTTTTTCATTTTTTGATCTGCAATAAAATTATAATATTGAGTACGCATTATGAAAGACAGGGTGGGCGACTCTGTGTTGGAGTGTTGATCATAAAATCTAATATGAAGGCCAGGAACGACACTGCATCCATACTCCGTATTTATCACGGGAACGATACCCCCTATGCTCTTTCTTTATAGAACACATACCTTTTCAATTATTTTTTCTTCTATCAACATTTTCTGTACGCCGATCATAGGATAACTCCACGACTTGTCGCAGCTCTCTGGGATTAATAACGCTTCGTTATTAGATAAAAACTCATTGTGGGACCATTTTTTTGGACGCGTTCCTTCGAGAGATGCCTTTATTAACTATTGGAGGTCATGTTAGTACTAAATCAAAAAAAAAGGATATCACTCATAGATGTCTGTACCTGCTTCGGCTTGATTAAATGAAAGATTCATTTTGATATTGTTTTAGGAACAAGTTGACTATTTATTGATGATATGATCATAAACACTCACGATCACATGATATATCAATTGATACGATCTAGATTAATATAGTCCGTGTTTTTAATAATATTATCATTTTAATTTTATTTATGCTAAACTTGCTTTTTCTAAAAAAATTTGAATTTTTAAATTAAAAATTACAATTTATTTGTTTATTATTTTAATCCTTTGATTCTAATGATATTTATAAAAATGATGAAATTGAAAATACAAATATACATCAAACTATCTCGAAAATTCCCTTTTAACCATGTCATTATTATCATAATTGTAAATAAATACTTTCGTGACGGGATATCAATGGAAAGGTTAGATTTATTTAATAATTGATATGCCGGATAATTCAGTACGCGAAAATTAACAATATAAGGATAGCAATACTCCATTTAGATACATTTATTTTTTGAGTGATAATCATGACGTGAGGTGAGCTGAAAGTATTTTACATCATTTGAACATAGAGAATCTAAATTTATTAATATATATATTTGTTTATTTGTTACTTTTATTTTCCTTTTCACTACAGGCCAGGTAGTTTTAGTAGCGGCAGTTCGAGTTGGCCTTCAAGTGATGATGTTTCCTATCACTCATGGCTTTGGTAAGAATCTGCTTTTCCTGGTTATGGAATTGCTAAATTGCTATGAACCTTCCCTTATACTGTAGATCGATAAAACTTTGTTCATGAATGGAGGCTGTTTCTCACTTTCAGAGCACCTCGCAAATGTCTGGCTGCAGTTGATCATGTCCGTTATTTTGATCTTACCGCATTTCTTTCCGCTCTTTAGTCATGTCATATGATGTTTTATGGTTGTCCTCGTATTATTGTTAAATTATAATTATTGTTCATGTATTGAAATATAATAATAAAATCGTATGATTTTAAAAAAATTGGTTTATTGTAAAGGCCTATAATACAAATAAAGTTTTATAATCAAAAAGTTTCAAAATATATTGTCAATACATTCCGTTTAAAAGAAAATGATTCAGTTGTCTATTATTAGCTCAAGCATAAATTACAACCACGAAGTTATTAAAAAAATTAAATTAATACTTCAAATAGATTTTATGCAAACTAAAAAATTATTATGATACAAAAAATCTATTTATGTATTTCTCACATGCGGTATTGAGATGTTATACCATATTTTGAAAAATTGGAATACAAATGTCACTAACAATTTTTTATAAATGATTCCCAAATTACAATGCGACATGCTATTATAGAATCAAAGTCTAAAATTTCCTGCCATTAGACCGAAGTGATACTTGATATGTTCAAACCAACATTGCCAATGTATCTTTATTGTACAATGAGAATACTCGATTATAGTTAACTTCATCAAAATCAATCTGATCAAGTTTCGTCTTTTTCTACAAAGGAGAAGATTTAAAAATGAATTAGATATCGTATGGGAAAAATCGAAAATTCCGCATCTTGATGGCACTATGCAGCTAAACAACTTTTTTGTTCTGTACCTCGCTTGAATTCTCTATCTCGATATCGACGACAAACTTTCCACCATCTTCAATAAAATAAATAACCAGACTATTTTATGTAAATTAACGAATATTGGTATAGCATATTCAAAAAAAAATTTGTGTAATCTCTGCTCCAAATTATGGTGGAAATAGAATTTTTTTTTGTTCTTTTTTTTGAGCTCTCATTTTTCAAGAATTCCGTCCAAATTCTCTTTTGAGATTTCAAATCTAATTATTAAATGTCCTTCAATTTGTTTTGATGAATATAAGTTTAACGAAAATACAAAGATAGGGAAATCCTTCCACAATTAATGTCATTTCCCAAACCTTTGCAAAATTTTAATTCAAATCCTCTAAGTGTATTATTAATCCAAGTATTTTTAAGAATTACAAAACGGAAACTGTTTGCAAGTTGACAAATCGTCAAAGGTAAGTGAGAAGCATTTTCCCATTGAATTATCTGAAATCTTTAACATTTAATAACCTGCGTATTAATTAATATGCGAAACTTTAATGAATTCTTGATAACTTAAGTATTAAGTATAATATACCTCGTTTTCTTGCAACCCTAAAATAAATTTTTTTCTGGTTAAAAGGTTTATTTTAGTATTTTCAAAATATTAATGGATTTTCTTTTTTTTAAAAAAAAAAGAAAAAGCAATCTTATGAAAGAGACAGTTATATTGAATACTTTTGCGAAATTTGAAATGGCAACTTCAAGAAGAATCCAGAGTTATTAAAAAAGTTAAATTACGACAATTTATTAAGAAATTTATTATAAGACAAATTAACGATATATTATAAAATAGCCTAATATGCCATAAATAGTTTTGATTTAATTAGTTGACAGTGCACCCCAAGGTTTCATTTTAATTGGTAATCTTGCAGTTTCGTGATATTATGAAAAATCGATTACAATTTTTTTAATGTAACTATTTTTTTTTGCTATACATTGAACAAAATAAAATGCTTAAATATATTATAACATGAGAGGTTACTAACAAGCTGAAAAATAGGAAACTTTCTATAAAATGATGTTTTGTTCGAATATCTATTATTCAAGCTTGCAAATGAAATAAGTAGTATAAAATCTTTGACAAATGGTACGTAGTTTGTAAACTATTTTATAGATTTATATTCTAAAATAAATAAGAATTAAAGAAAATAGATGCTCGTTCAAAATTCTTAAATAATAAAAATTTATGTGTTATTCATGATTAAGATGATTGGAATCATTCTTCAGAATTTTACCAAGTTAAATACTATTGAAATGCAAATTCAGGATATAAATTTTTAATGATTCAGTCAAATTTATATAACTTAAGATAGCCATATTTAGGTAAACCTTAACTAAAGCTCTGAACGGTTTTGATTAATCCAATAAAATCTATCTGGTTTGGTACGTTCCAATAGACGATAAAGACATAATCCAATATTTTTGGCTCGGAACAGGATTTATGTTTCAGATCATTACCCTTAATTTGAGATAAGATATAATCTATTGCATTTATAAATTTTTTAGCTTGTACTTTACTCATCATTGTCTTGATTCACTTCTGTAAAATAAGCAAATGTATTTCTAGTTTTAGATTACTTAGGTATTGTATTTTAAAACTTTAATAATAATATAGTAATAATAAACAAATCGGAAAAATATTGATAATTAAGAAACAAATATACAGTATATTTATAAATAAATATTGAAATATAAAAAAAAAATATTGAAAGTATATAGAGGTTAGAACCGGCCAAAAATTTTTCAACCGGTTCAACCTCTGAAAGTATGTACGTTCAGAACTCGTTATAACAAACTCTTAATATAACAATCACTTAATGGATTCTTATAAATGATTTTTTTAAAATTTTTTCATAATAAAAATCGTTAATAATTTTGATAAACTATTTTTTTTTCAAAGTATTTATAATAAGCCGGGGAAAGAGTTCTGACTGTATATCTTCATAGAATGTACAGAAAATTAAAAAGCTAATACATTCAGGAATTTCTTATTTCATTCTGAACTTTATATATATCATTCAACCTTTTTAAAAGTATATCTAATATATCTTTATTGGACTTTTCCTGAATATTGAGCTTGTTTAACAAATTTTATTTCATTTCTGGAAATTGGTCAGAATCCCATTCATTCTCTTTAATTAGTTCCCTAATTTTTCTATAAGTCTCATCAAAATTAGCATGATAATATCTATCAGTATAATAAATATTGATTTAATAAAATTTGAACCAAAGATGAGAAAAAATTTTGAGAAAATCACAGATACAAACATACATCACATTGGAAAATCAGGTTTTCCAACGTCTTTGATTTGGAAATAAGTAAAATAACTCAATTTCTGCTAAAATCTATATATTTTTATAATAAAAAGATAAAAAATAAATATAATATTTATTATTAAACGTAGTAAACATGTACATATATTATAAATACCTTTGCCTTTTGTATAAATATGAAGCTTCATTGTTATCTTTCTCAATAGCATTACCAAGTAATCCAATCAACAAATTCATAATTAAGAAAGTAAAAGTTGGATCCTCTTTATATTTCTAGTTAGATAAAGCTCTTGAATCTCCTATTGAAAGTAAAATAACTTGAATAAAAATAATTATTATAAAAGATTAAAAAAAAAAAAAAAAATTAATAAATAAATACCTGTAAGGAATAAATAAAATAAAAATAGTGCAGTATCATAACTTGTAAATATGTTTGTTTGTATTAGGTTATTGAACAATTAATGTATTTGATATGATAGTAACTATTAGTTAATTTCCAAGGATTATTACTATCATTATTTGTAGTTGAAGGTGAATACTCCAAACTATAAATTTGTCTTGGTCTTAAAATAATCAAAAAAGCATGAGCAAAACTTAAAAGTATAATAAATAAAACAAATAAGAAGAAAGCTATTCTCTTCGTAATACAAGGATAATTACAAAATAAACTTCAAATAATTGAAAGGTTCTAAAAATAATAAAACTTAAAATCTAACAAAAGACATGAAAGAGAAAGCAAAAAATTACTTAGCAATATGTATATCGTGATTTATGTAATAAATAAATGAATTAATGAATTTCATACCAAAATAGTTCCAAGGATCAATAATCCATTCGACAGGATCATAGACAAACTGACGAAATTTAATAGTTGAATGAATAAATCCAAGAATAATTGTAACGATTAAAAGATTTTTTCTGATACTTTTAAATATAACATTTTCAGGAAATGTTGAAGCGACAGTAAAGCATCCAAGTAAAGAAGTGTATATTATCAAAATTAATATATGATAATAAAATCTATATAAATTCCACTTAAAGTTAACTAATGCTTCACCATTCCATATTTTATATATCTCCCTATTTATCGTTTTTATGAATGGATTTGGTTCGGTTTACAAAATTCCCGTAACTAACCAAACTTTTGTGGATAACTAACAAATTTGATATAAGGAATCAT